ACAGCTCTGCAACCCGCCTGGCTGCTGAGTTTGGCTGCGGAGCTGTGCTGGAGCCTGCTCTGAGCACCTACCTCTGCCCCAGCTGCTGCAGGTGACTGGCCGGGAGGGGAACCTCATTGCCATCTTCCAGGAGGAGCACAGCCGTGTCCTCCAGCAGCTCCAGGCCTTCACCTTCTTCCCAGAGGCTCCAGCTGTGGCCAGGCGTCCGTTCGAGAGGAAGAGCATGGAGCGCCAGTCAGCCCGGCAGCAGCCTCTCCTGGGCCCGGTGAGTCCCGTGAGACTGAGACCATCGTGTCCTGAGCCAGCCCCATGTCCTGCCTCACACCGTGGCAGGGGGTGAACGGGGCACATCCTCTCCTATCGCAGCTCTGGCTCTGGGAGCTTTGGGAAGGTCTGTTTTAGAGGCTGCCCTGCCATCTGCCACAGTCAGTACCTGCTGAGGGGGAGCTGGTCCCATCTGTGTCCTCTGGGGTTGGGCTGAGCGCCCAGCCCAGACAGCATCCTGCAGCCATCGCTTCCACGGGTTCATGACTTGCTGTGTGAACAGCATCCTCTTGTTCACGTCCAACCGGCTCCCAAGTTGCTTCCTTTCCCCTCTCCTGCTTCTGGCACGGGAGAGGCTGAATAGTTGATCCCTATCGACTCTCTGCCCCCTTTAATACTTCATTAGCCTCGATCGGGTCCCCTCACGGCGTCTCTTTGCCAAGCGGAAATACCCTGAGCCTGCACATCCCAAACTGTGGGGTACGTGCCTGGGGGGAGGCACAAAAGCCTCCTAGGGAGGGGGTGAATTGCGGTAGCGATTGGTGGGGCTCCCCTTCTTCAGCTGCTCATGCCCCTTGCTGCAGCCCCCGCTGCTGCTTCCCTTGTCGGCAAGTCCCCCGCCACGGGTCGCAGCTGGCAGGGGAGCCAGCAGCGGTGGCTGCCGTGGGGCGGTGCGGCAGCACTCAGGGCGCGGAGGCATTGTTGCTCACGAAGGTCCAGCAATGGTTTCAGTTCTGCTCTCAGTCCTGTCCTCTAATCCCCAGCTCTGTCTTCTGCCATGTCCCTCCCCACTCTGCCCTGGGGCTCAGACAGGACTGTGGGGAGAGCAGGGTCTCACGGGCATCGCATTGTCTTCCAGCCCAGCTACCGGCTGCAGTCCGATGAGGTCCGTGCCACGCTCCTGGCCCGCTACCCCCCGGACAAGCTCTTCCAGGCTGAGCGCAACTTCAATGCAGCCCAGGACCTGGACGTCTCGCTGCTGGAGGGTGACCTCGTGGGTGTCATCAAGAAGAAGGACCCCATGGGCAGCCAGAACCGCTGGCTCATCGACAATGGAGGTGGGGGGCTCCATCAGCCTGGGGGGTGCTCAGGCGGGAGCTGCTGGGCCTGGGCTCCAACCCACCCTTCTCTGATCCACCCTCTCTCCCCACAGTGACCAAGGGCTTTGTGTACAGCTCGTTCTTGAAGCCGTACAGCCCGCGCCGCAGCCAGTCAGACGTGTCTGTGGGCAGCCACTCCTCCAGTGAGTCGGAGCATGGCAGTGCTTCGTCCTACAGCCACGCCAACCTCACCTTCAGCCCTGGCAACATGGCTGTGGCCTTCACCCAGAAACCGCCACCTGATCCAGCCGCCCCAGGAGACCCCCACCTGCGCTCCACCTCAGAGGCGGACGCCCCCCGCCAGCCCCAGCCCAGCGCCTGTGATGGGACAGGGCTGCTGGACACCACCCCGCTGCCCGCTGCAGCACCCCCTCACCGCCGCCACAGCCGCCCGGAGCTAGCCGGCAGCCCTGGCGCCCGCAATGGGCTGCCAGCCAAAGCCCAGGTCCAGCCATCGCCCTCACTGGAGGACAGGGACTCGGGGCTGGACAGCAGTGAGTCCGAGGGCAACCAGGTGAGCCCGCCGTGCTGGTGAGGGGGGCTGTGGGGCAAACCCTTGGCTGGGTGGGGTGACCTGGCCCATGCCAGAGCTGTGCTCCCTACCCTGGGCTGTGGGTCCTGGCAGCGCTGGTCTGCCCTTGTGGGGAGGGGGCTGTAGCAGATGCATGAGACCCCCATGTGCACCCACAAGGCTGGGAGGGTGCCCAGAGCCTGTGGGGCATGGGGACCCAGACCCTTCCCAGGCATCCCTTTGACGAGCAGCCTGGGTGGAGTCCAGCCTTCGGCGCACAGCTGCGCAGGGCGGGTGTTGTGGCCCCCCACGCCTGTGGCTGCTGCACCCAGTGCTGATGCTGACCCTGCTCTGCACCCACAGGTCTATTACGCGCTTTACACCTTCAAGGGCCGCGGCCCCAATGAGCTGAGTGTGTCGGCCAACCAGAGACTCCGCATCCTTCAGTTTGAGGATGTCACGGGCAACCGGGAGTGGTGGCTGGTGGAGGCGCGCGGGCGCCAGGGCTATGTGCCTTCCAGCTACATCCGCAAGACTGAGTACACGTGAGCCGCCCCAGCCCCAGCCCCGCTGCGGGCTACTGCTGTCTTGCTCCAGGGGCAGACGCTGGGCAGCCCATGGACCCTGCTGGCTAAGGCAGCCGCGCTGCTTGCCTGCAGCCATGCTAGGGGGCATGGGACGGCCCCGATCCTGCAGGACTCGGCCCCGCTGCTGCAGTGTGGTCAGCGTGGGCCGTGTCTTCCTCCCCTCCTCGCCAGGCAAGCGGCCTCCCCTGCCGTCCACCATATGGGGCTGGCAGAGCCTGGGGTGCAGCCAGGCACCAGAGGCAGCACCGGCTGCACGTGGAAATGAAGTGCTGAGGTCTCTTGCCCCTCGGGGGTTCGGGTGTAAAGCAAACGGCCAAGTCTTGTGAAGAGCAGTGGCTGGGGCGACTTTTTCCCAGGGCAGGGGTGTGCGCACAGGGGAGCCGTGGGGCTGGGTCACCCCTTGGCCCCGTCCCCTGTGCTGCAAGGGTGGGAGCCCAGCTGGGTTCCACCGTGGGGGAGACCCCGGGTCCTACACTGTGCCCCCCTGCAGGTCGCCCGCTCCCGGGGCTGGCCAGGGGCACCATAGCACCAGGGCAATGCTGGGGCCAGTACCTGCCACCCCCACAGTGACCGCTGTGCTCTAGGGTGCCCCACGTGGGCTGCCCCACTCCTGCAGGCTGCTTGCTCCCCTGGGCAGGGGCCAGGCTGCAACTGGGGGAGGGGGTCCCGCTGCTGCTGCTGCCCCCCAGGGATGGGGGCTGTGCTGCTGCTCTGTAAATAAAGGTTTGCTCTTTTTGACGCCACTCCCTTAGTGCGTATGCGACCCGGGTCCCTGGCTCCAGCTGTGCTGCCTGCTGACAGGCCCCTGTGCCCTGGCCCAGGACAGACAGGTGGCCTGGGCCTTGCCTTGCACCAGGAGCACAAGCAGAGCTGGGCCTGCGCCCAGCTCGTGTAGGCTGCGTGCTGACAGTGGCAGCAGCAGGGGCCTTAGAGGGAGAGGACGTGAACGGGCAGTGAAGGAGACCATGGGGTCTGTGCCTGGGAGCTGCTGGCATCGGGATTGTGAGTATAACCCAGTCCCTGGGATAGGTGACCCCTGTAAGGGGCACTCCTGAGTGATGCCTCTGCTGCCCATCCGCTTCCCTGCCTGGCGGGAGTGAAGCACGCGCAATACTTAACTTAAATACCCTTTATACACAGCAACAGGCACTGTGAGGAGGGGATGCATGGGGCTGCAGTAGGCTGGCAAGAGGAGTGTGTGCCCATAGTCTGGCCCATGGGCTTCATCCTGCTCCAGGGTGGGGCCAGAGTGACTCTGCCATGTCCCTGCCACTCAACTGGGGGGGTGGGGGTAGAGCAGGCTGAGCCACGCCTGCCCCGGGGGGTGCTAAACCCAGCACAGGACAGGGGTGCTGTGTGCCAGGGGCTGCAGCTGCCGACTGCACTGGGGCCTGGTGTGGAACCTGGAGCCCAGCACCCAACGCAGGATCTGCACCGCTGGCTGAGTGGGGTGGGGCTCCTCTGGGGCGGTGTGGAGGATACGGCCCCTCTCATGCAATAGCATTACAAGGAGCAGGGAAGGGGCCCGGCCCAGCCCTTTTCCTGGCCCCTGCCCTTGAGCCAGGGTCCAGAGCTGTGTGACAGACCAAAGCGCCAGGGCGAGGGTTTCTCTGGGACGAGCCCCAGGCAGGAGAGCTTTGCCCGCAGCTGTCATGCATAAGCAGCACGTGCAACATCCCACTCGCGTCTGCGCAAGGAGCCCCAGAGGTGACAAGGGCCACTAAAGGAAGTGATTGCAGGCGCTCCTGGCAAGTGGCAGCACTGCGGCCAGAGATGCTCCCAGCAAGCACCAGAGCTCAGCAGCTGCAGCCCCGCACTGGAGCTGTTCCCACGCCAGCAGCAGCACCAGGCATAGGAGCAGCTCCCTGTGCTCATGTACAGTGCAGCCCCTGGTGCCAGGGCCTGCGTGCTCAGCCCCTTGCTCTGCCACAGTCCTCCAGCAGCAGGGGCAATTCCCAGGCAGTCCTGCTGCCGGGGGAGACTGGAGTCCTCCCATCCATCACGGTGTCATCTCCAGCAGCCACGCACTCCTGGCAGCCCTGGGGCAGCACTGCGGCCCCTACAGCAATGTGGTCTGGGAGCTCACGATGCCAGCGTCCTTGGCCAGGGTGGTGAACACGCCCTGCTGCTGCAGCAGCACCTCAGGGCTGTCGAACTCAGCAATGCGGCCAGCTTGCAGCACCAGCACCCTGCGGGCAAGCAGAGACAGGGGCTGGGGCTGTGGCTCAGGCAGCCACGCTGGGCCAGGGGCTCCCAGCTGCCAGAAGGGCTGCATTGTGTCCCGGGGCTGCAACCCAGTGCTGGGAGCCACTGTCCCAGAGCAGCGCCTCTGTGCCCTGCTGATGGGCAAGGCTTGCCCAGTAACAGCCCCACCCAGCCCAGCAAACCCCCCCCGAGGGGAGGAGGACTGATCGGCCACCCCCAGCACCTCTGGGCTGGGCAGCTTCACGCCACCATGAAGGGCTGTTGCTGGCTACAGCCCCTGCCCACCCGCAGCTGCTACTTGCAGTGGTGCACATGATGTATGCATGGTCCCTGCCCCCACTTGGGAGCACGAGGGGTGCATATAGCCACCTTGACCGGTGCTGGCTACAGGGGTGTTTCCAGTGCATCCCTTGCCCCTGGCTGGCTGTGGGGGTGCAGGCAGCCCCCTGCACACACCTGTTGCTGTCCATGATAGTATGCAGGCGGTGGGCGACGGTCAGCACGGTGCAGTCTGCAAACTCGCTGTGGATGGTGCTCTGGATGAGCCGGTCAGTCTCCAGGTCCACGGCAGCCGTGGCCTCATCCAGCACGAGGATCTTGGACTTGCGCAGCAAAGCCCGGGCCAGGCACAGCAGCTGCCGCTGCCCCACGCTGCGGGGAGAAAGGCCGCGGTCACGGGGGCCTAGGCTGGCTGGCAGGAAAGGGACGTGCGGAGCCCACTTACCTGAGGTTCTCGCCAGCCTCGCTGATGGGGTGGGCCAGCCCCTCAGGCAGCGCCTGCACGTGCGCCTTCAGGTGAGCCAACTCCAGCGCACGCCACAGCTCTACCTCCGAGTACTGCTCGAATGGGTCCAGGTTCAGGCGCAGCGTCCCTGAGAACAGCACCGGGTCCTGCCGGGACAGCCCAGGGGCCATTACCCACGGGGCGGAGAGGTAGGGGTGTTGCCTGGGCCGTGCACGTGGCTGCCCTGCGCTTCCTCCCCTGCTCTGCCACGGCCTGGGCCCTGCTGCTACTGAGCAGCCCCAGTGCCAGGCGGGCAAGAAGCGGGGCTGAGCACGGGTCTCGGTGGCTGGGCCCCAGGTGACACCCAGGGCAGGAGCTGGGGCCCAGTGGGGCTGGATCCTGCCTTGCTGGGGCCGGGGGGGGAATGGGGCCGAGCTGGCAAGAGCCAGGACCCAGGGACTCTTCTGCACACAGAGCCGTGTCCAACCCAGGGGCGACCCTCACTCCCTGGGGCATGGGGCCTGCAGGAAGCCCTGGGGCAGAGGCGCAGGTCCAGCACCCATGAGTGCGGGCAGGGGCAAGCGCACCTGGGGGATGATGGTGAGGTGCTGGCGCAGGTCGTGGAGACCGATGGTGGCGATGTCCACGCCATCGATGAGGATGCGCCCGCCTGCCGCCTCCAGGATGCGGAAGAGGCAGTTGGTGAGCGAGGACTTCCCTGCCCCGGTCCGGCCCACCACCCCCACCTGTGGGGACAGCCGGTCAGATGTGCTGCGCTGCGATGGGCCCCTGCACACCCCGGGGCTCACAGCCATCCCCACCGGTAACCAGCCCTGTGCCTTGGCCCTGCTGGCCACCCCAGGGGATGGTACCCAGCCTGTAGCCCCAGGCCCATCCTGCCTCTGCAAAGCCTTTGGCCCTGGGCCCTACTCTTGGTGCCCTGCTCAGGGGGCTGCTGCTGGTCCCCCCAGCTGGCGTGGGGTGAGCTGTCTGCAAGCCCAGGCCCATAGGCCCAAGCCAGGCAGCATCTGCCCACGGCGATGGGCTCTGACAGGCCTCCCCTGACCCCGCTCTGCCCAGCTGGGCATCAGGACCCACCCCCCCAACACCCCCCCTGGGCAGGGTCACGGGCAGCCGGGGTGGGGAGGGGGCTCCGACCTTCTCATTGCCAGCAACGTCACAGGTGATGCCCTGCAGCACCAGCTCCAGCTCGGGCCGGTACCGGACCCCATAGTCAATGAACTGGATCTCGCCCCGGCTGGGCCAACCAGGGGGTGGGCGCTGCTCCGTCACCCATGGGGCCTAGTAAGGACAGAGCGGGTGTGAGGGAGGGCACGTGCAGGATGGTCGGGTAGTGGTGTACGTGGGCACCCTGCACCGAGCAGTGCAGGACCGTGGCCAGCGGACAAACGCCCCTGGTGTCCCCTAGACCCAGTCCCCCAGCCCCATCTCACCTCGTTCTCCACTTCCATGTACTCGTGCACACGCTCCACAGCCACGATGTTGGTCTCCAGCTCCGATGTCATCCGCACCAGCCAGTTCAGCGTCTGGGTGATCTGCGCGGCAGAGCCTGACATGTGGGGGGGCCCGACACCCGCCCAGAC